CCTCAAGAGTTTCACCAGTTTCTTTGGGACCAGTAAGCCTGGCCTTTTTGATGTTTTTGAGTTTTCTTCCACATATCCCCCACTCTGACCAGGATCTTCTACTGTGGTTCCATTTACAGAGGACAGGAATGGTAGCCGGGCACCATTTAGATCTTCTGCTCTCAGTGTCATGGAAATTGAGTCTTGTGTGGTCCAATGGGTTTGCTTTAAAGGAAGCATATCACTAGCCTTCTCCTCAAGAATCTGTGGGTGGCTTCAAACTCCCAGTCTGTGGATTACCAGCCAAGTACTTACCTGCTGCGCCTCCAGGGCTCCTGCTTCTGCACACGCACACACACACGTACATATACAGATAGGCACCTCCAGCAAACATGATTCCTTTGCAATTTCCTTGATGCTTTCACACCATACGTATCATTAGATAACTTGTCTTCTCTCACTCAGCAGTTATCTTAGAGCTCTGTTTTCCAGGCAATTACACACTTCAGTCTTTTCTGATGTGGCCCAGAAGAAAGATATGCTTGAGTTTTCCCTCACTCCAGTGAACTTTTAGGCTGTTTCTTGTGCCTTCAAAGCAGAACTGACTCAAAACTGACCTTCCTGTGTATTTTCAGAGACTCCAAAGTACTGAAGAACAATGATGTCACTCTGGAGACTAAGGTGTGCCTGATATAGTCCATGGCCTTTGCACTCACTTGGTATGTGTCAGAGCTGGACAATGACTAGGGATGATAGAAGGAGAATTGATGCCTTTGATCTCTGGTGTTGGGGAAGAGTATTGAACATATCATGACTACTAAGAAAATGAACAGATTCATCCAAGAGAGGGTTAAACTAGATTGCTCCTTGGAGGCAAGGATTCTGAAACTTCGTCTGACATACTTTGGACATGTTGCAAGGAGGTACCAGTCCTTGGAGAGGGACATAATGCTTGGGAGGGTGGAGGGACAGCGCAGGAGAGGAAGACCCTCGATGAGGTGGATTGATTCAGTGACTTGGGTAGTTGGGGTAGGTATGTTGGAGATAGTGAGATTGGCATAGGATGGAGCAGAGTGTAGGACTGTTGTACACAGGGTCGCTATGAGTCTCAGATGACTCAACAGCACGTAACAACAAATCACACGGAAGTAAACTGTCCATCTTTGTCCCTCAGAGCAGCTGGTAGATGCCAACTGCTTGCCTTTGGGTTGGCAGTGCCACTCCTTACCCATTAGGCCACCAGAGCTCCTAACACCATTATGGTCACAAATACCATTCAATTGGTCCCAACATGTATGCAAGAGAGTTCTCTGATGCAGGGATCTTGCTACACGTTTTGTATGGTACTGGAGCGAAGAATGATTTCTACGTCTTGTATTTTTAACCTTGTTGTTGTCCTAATGCCTCCAAGACCAGCAAACCTCAGTGTTTGGTTCTGGTTAAGAAGTTTACATAACTTCCCCATAGAAAATCACCAGCTGCTGTGCAGGAACCTGACGAGTAGTCTTCTCCCATAAAGTTTTATGTCCTTGTGAACCTGATGGAGGATAACTGTAGGTCAGACCTCAACTGATGCAAATGGGTTAAGTTTTACATGTATTTACATCTGCACTCTCAGGAAATCCAAAGACGAATTGCATTAGGTAAATCTGCTGTCAGGGACCTTTCCAGGTTACTGAGAAGCAATGATGTCCGTCTAGAGACTATGGTGCACCTGATCCAGTCGATGGACTTTGGAAGTATGTTCTATGTATCAGAGAGCTGGATTATGACTGAGGATGATAGAAAAAGAATCTTGAACATACCATGGACTGCCAAGAAAACAAATAGGTCTGTCTTGAAGAGAGTGAGACCAAGTTTCTCCTTGGAGGCTAGGATTTTGAAGCTCTGTCTCACATACTTTGGGCATGTGGCCAGGAGGGAATGATCCTTGGAGAAGAAGGATCATGCTCGGCTGGAGAGTGAGAGACAACACAGGAGAGGAAGCCTCTGGATGAGACGGAATGGATTGATGCAGTAACTAGGGCAATGGGAATAGGTGTGTCGGAGTCAGTGAGACTGGCTCAGCACTGGCTATTGTACAGAGGGTTGCTATGAGTTGCAGGCAACTCGATGGCACATAACAACATATTTGCACTCAGTGATACATAACCAATAGCTAAGATTGCTAAAGTGGTTTATAACCATAACGGTTACCCATGGTGGACTGTGTTTGGTGGAGCTCCCAGTTCAAGAGAGATTTGGAAGCAGTAGTGGCATCCACTTCCGAAATAACATGCCTCTGGAAACTCCATGTACTTGGATAAATGACGATAATTATAGAAAGGCTTTGGGCCTTTTGTTTATAGGGTCGCTATGAGTTGTGCTCGACTCGACAGTAATCAACAACAATTATTATTATGTATAATTTATATTTAAAAATGTTTAGAAATAAAAAGGAGAGGAAAAATTTATTTTAAAAAAGTTTACATAACTTGGTCCCTTATTGGCTCTAAAACACACACACACACCAACTTCATATGTACAAAGTGGAACTACTCAGTAGTTTCCAAAGCTGTGACCTTTCTTCCATGGCACCTTCCGGTTGTTTCGAACCATCAATGTTTTACAACCATTCACACCACTCAGGGATTTCTAGAATCCCCTAGAAACCAAACCAAACCAAAGCAAACTCCAACACAAAGCCATTGCTGCTGAGTTGGTTCAAAAGCACAGTGCCCCTCCCTCCATTCGCTTTCTAGGGTTGCAGATATTTACAGGAAGACTGTCCATTTTTTGTTTTGTTGTTTTTTTTTTAAACCAAGGAGCAGTTGGTGGATTCAAACGGATGACCTTTCCAGCTGGCAATGTGTAATGCACTAAGCCACCCACCGAAGAAGCTCCTTAGACATTTTAAAAGAGGAGTAGTTTTAAAAAACAAACAAGAATATACAAAAGAGATGAATGGAAATCCTCAGACTCTGTAAACTTTCATTAAAATTAATAATAATAATAAAAAACCCATTTATTTATGACCAAAAAAAAATCGCAATTATTTATTACCTGAAAAAGTCTCTCCTCCCATTTCATAGATGGGAAAGTGGACTCAGAACGAAAGGACTTCACTAAGCTTTCACAGAACTGAGGCTCTTAGATCGCACAAATGTTTGTGGACTGTGGTGCCTTGGATCCCTGGTGGTAGCGCTGCGGGTAAAGTACTGGAGTAGTAACAGAAAGCTCAGGTATGAACCCACCAGTTGTACTGGAGGAGAACGATGAGGGAGTCTGGGTCCGTAAAGATTTACAGCCTGGAAACCTTACCCTATGGGGTAGTTCTCTGTCTTCCAAGGTTCCAAGGTCGCTAGGAATCGAAATCGACTTTACTGGCAGTGGGCTGATTGGCTGTTTGCTCTGAGTCTAGCAAAAGTCGTTGAAGGCCAGAAATTGATTAAGGAGATACTCTTGTCCCCAGCGAACTCCCACCACGAGACGAGAAGAGATATTGGGAAACAACTGCTACCAGGTGGATCAGGTTTAAGGTCTCCCAGGGGTAGGGTGGAGAAGGGGAGGGGTGGGGGTGTTGCTCAATGACTCAAGGGAATTCAAGCCAGAGCTTGGTCTAGAGGGGTCACCATCCCCCCTGATGGATCCTGAGGCATTCTACCTTGACAGATCTCAGATAACGTTCCCTGCCTCCAGGCCTCAATTTACCCATCTGAACCCCTGGAAGCGACAATCCCTGGCCAGGAACTTCCCCGGGACCAGGTGGCGCTCTTCGGGTGGGGCGTGGCCTCCGTGACGTCAGAGGGCGGAGCCTGCGGGCCGGGCTGCAGACGCCTGGGAAGGAGTCGCGGCTCAGCCTGGAGCTGGCGTTCAGGGCAGGAGGCTCCGGGGAGCGGACACCCTGAGATACCCCAGCCCACCGCCTACAGGCGCTCTAAATTGCTAGGATGATTCCACCATCCTCCGCAGGCGAAACTCAGTCACAGCTGGACGCGCCTGGGGAGGAGGCCACTCTGGAGACCCTCCCCCCACTCCTATGCCCGGCGCTGCGCCGCCCCCCCAACCCCTGCCTGCCTCCCCAGCCCCCACCCCCATGCTCACCCCACGCCCCGACCCTGCGGCTGTGAGTCAGCGGCCGGCCGCGCCCCCTCCGCCCACTTCCTCCTCACCTTCCCGGGGCGGGCGGGGCGGGCAGGGGGCGGTGAGAAGGGTGGGACCCTACCTCCTCATCCTCCTTGCCCCCCTTCCACGCGGGGGAGGGGCTCACTCTTCCCCCAAAGTCCCCCCTCAAATTGGCTAAGAAAGACGGTGGGGGGTGTCTCCGAAGGTGGGATTGAGGGAAGACATGTGAAAAGCTCAGTGCTTAGCCTCTGTGAGGGTCTGAACTCTCGCCCCCCACCCCTTTTAACTGAACAACCTGGAAAGAAATGAAGTCCATGGGGAGAGCGTAGAGGGAGAAATTGTACCCCGGTTTCGATCGCCCTAAGCATTGCCATCCTGGGAGACACCTGGGATCATAGGAGGATTCCTTTATCCTCGACCCAGCTTCTGCCCCAATTTAGGGGTGACCCCTAGAGTGCACCCTCGTGCAGCCCTCACACTGGGTGAGGAAATTTAGCGGAAGTCGAAGGTGCAGCGTTGCCCTTTTAAGCGCCCTCCACCCCCAGCCATGAGGCGGCCGCGGCCCCTTTAAGGCGCGGGGCATTGTGGGTGCGGGGAGTGGAATTTTGGAACGAAATGTAGAGAAGTACTGTAGTAAGAGTAACATTGTAGCCGCTGCCGGCCGAGGGGGCGCGCCGGGGAGGGGACGCCGCACCCCCTGCCCACCGCAGGCACCCCCCCCACCAAACCCCCAGCGGGAGGAGACACCCGAGGACCCGCCCCAGCCACGTTCCCCCCCAGGAAGCCGGACTCTATGGGGCGGGACCCTGGGGGAGACTGAGCAGAAGCAGGAGCTAGCCTCGAACCTCTGAACCGCGCGCCCGGGGCGCCCCGGGGAGCACTCAGCCCGTGGGCGTACGGCCCGCCTGTGAGCAGCCATGAGGTGAGCCGGGCACTGCCGCCCGACCCTTCCCCACCCGGCGCGAGCTCCCCGCCCTGCTTTTGTCCACCCTCCCCCAGCTCGTTCGGGCTGAAATTTGGGGAGCGGGCACTGGGAGCCTTGGATGAAAAGCTGAATCCCTCTTGGGCGAGCTCCCAATCTTGACCACCTCCCCATGACTGCCCCAAGCTTGGGGCGGTACCGGTGAGGTTCTCCTGGAACCCCTTTAGATATGGGGGTGCGCGCTCCGGGCTACTCCCGAATTTCAGAGACTTTCAGGGGACCTCCAAGTTGGCACATTCTCTCGCTGGGATGCCGTGGTGCAGACGGAGGTCAGAGTCCCCCTTAAACCTCAACTCGGACTGTGAGAGGGATGATTGGGGGGGGGTACCCAGGCTAGAGGCTCTGGGACTTGGACGAGGCTGAGAGTCAGACCCTTGCTGGGGGGTGGGGTGGGTCGCCTTGTACGTGGTGCTGGAAAAGCGTCCTTAAGTGGGACCACCCTCCCTAACGTCAGGGGTACTTCCTAACCCCCTAAATTCCAAGGGCCGCTCAGATGCCCTCGTGGAGGAGGCTGGTGCGGACGGACTGACGGACCCAGACGCGAACTCGAGGGTCTGGCTGGGACTCCCCTCCCCCGTCCGTCTGCACTCACAGTCATCCCGACACCGGCGGTGCTTAGGACGGAGCGAGCGCGCCGGCCGGAGGGCGGCACCCGGCCCGCGGCCAGCAGGGCGGCCCGGCTCCCCCACCTGCGCGCGGCCCCGGGAGGGAGGGGGCGCGGCAGCTGGGGGAAGAGGGGCCTTTGTCTTCCTGACTCACCTGTCGAGACAGCTGGTGTGTGTGGGGGGCGGGCTGCTCTCCCCACCCCGCCCCTCCTCCTCCCCGTCCCTTCCCTCCACCCCTGTGGGGGGCCCTTGGGAGCTGTGGGGTCGGAGGAGGGGGCGCAGGAGAGCGTCAAGGTCAAAGCCTGCACCCCACTGGAACCTGGGTTTCCCAAAGAGTTCCAGCTAGCAGTTTTCACCCTGGGGGTGAGGGGCCCGTGGCCACCTGGGACCGTCCCTTGGCGGGCCCTCTACGAAAAGTCCTGGGCTTACCTGAGGGCGGGGCCCGTGCGCGCGCTGGGGTTAGGGGAAGGGACTCGCCACCCCCATATTCTCTTCCCCTGGGGCCCAAGTCTGACAATACTATCTCCCTTCCTCCACTCCCTCTGGGACTTCCTGCCCCATACCCCTCAGCCTGCAGGGGAAGGCCCCCGGGGGCCTGCTGGGGGGATTAACCCCCTGCGGCCCGCACCTCCCACTTTCCTCATCCCCCTGCTTCTGATCCTGGGGTGCCTTTACTTTTTTACGACGCTTAGCAAACTCCCCTCTCCCCAAGTGTTCCTTCTGCTGGGAAGGGGATTGTTGGGAAATTCTCGGAGCCCGGGGGGGCACCCACTGTCACCCTCCAGACTTCCTGCCCCGCGTCCCCGCCCTTCTCCCCGTTGCAGCCACATCCCTTGGGGGCTGCACTGGAGAGGGGGCATTTGCGGTCTTCCCTCACCCTCTTTCCCAGGGGACAGGACGCCGTTCTCCCACCCACCACCCCCCCAGCCCCGCCTCTTGGGGCCCCCCCCAGGCGCGTTTCCGGTCCCAGGGAAGGCGGATGGCGGATGTCCGAGTTAATGCGCCTCACATACTGAGACCGTAAAAGGGCAGGAGCAGCTTCTGGGCCGGCCTCCCGCCCTCCTTTCTGCCCCCAAGTCCTGGCCCTCCCCCAGGGCCCCACTCTGGTGGTGGACCAACCTCTCACCCCTTGGGAGAGTGGGGGGACGGCCAAAGTCGAACCTGACCCAGTAGACAGAGGGTCAGTGCCATCTCTTGAGGGGCACCCTCTCTGGTGACCACACCCACCTTCCCCCTGAGAGTGCCCTGCCCCCTCACCAAGGGCAAGGAGGCTCCTTATTGATTCCCAGATGGGGAAACTGAGGAAATCATGGCTGCAGGAGGGCGTGGGGGGGGGGGGACACACCTCTACAAATCTAGGCAATTAGAGGAAGGAGGAGGGCCCGGATCCAGTTCTGGTTGGTCCGGGGACAGTCGCCAGTCTCGGAGCCAGTTGGAAGAGAAGATGTTAAAGATGGAAAATTACAAGCCATATTTCTTTTTCTCCCAGTTTGACAAATATTTGTTGAGTGTCTCCTGTGTACAAGACTTTGGGCCGCTGTGCTGAGAGGTCCGGGAAGAGGGACAGAGGTCTGAGGGTCACCAGGCGGGAAGGAGTCCGGAAGTGTTTGAGGGCCCCCCCCCCTCCAGTAAATAAACACTCATGGCTGTAGAGTAGGAAGCTGCTTGTAGCTGACCCTCCTTTGGGGTTCTGTGGCTGTAAATTACCCAGCAGGAGATTGATTGCCCACCTTTCTCCCTCAGGTCCACTGGTGGAGTCTGCTGGCCAGAGAGGCGAGGCCTTCTGAACTAAGCCACAAGGTCTCCCTTCTGTAAATAAAATTAATAATCAAGGAGTCTTAACTGGCTCATAGCTGACCCTCCCGCCTTTTTTCAGAGGCTCTAAATCACAAGAGATTGCCCATGTCTCTCCTGTGGGGGAATGGACTCGAACCACTGATCTTTGGTGTTGGCACGGTAACTCCTTTCCCTCTAGGCCACCAGAGCACCACTCAGTAAGCAGTAATTGTTAATTATTGTTCTAGGCCACCTTTGGGTGAGGAAATCCCATTTGCTCCTTTACAGACAGCTCATAAATTGAAACCTTGACTGAACCAACGCCTCCTGGGAACAAATTCTAAAGTCATTTTCATGACAGCTTGAAATACTTGTGAGAACTTTCATACTTTTCTTGGGTTTATCAAACACCCAAATCTACAGCCATCAAGTTGATTCTGAGCTGGTTGGACAGTAGAGAATTGCCCCATAGACTGTCCAAAGCAGTGACTCTTTACAGAAACAACTGCTTCATCCTTGCATGGCAACGGTTTGTGGGTTCGAACAGCTGATCTTTCCAGTTAACAGCCAGGTTCTGTGGCCACTGTGCTTCTCACACTAACATAAGGCTTAAAATAAGAACTGAGTTTATCCGGTTGACCTAGCTACAAATTTGACTTAAAAGGCTTGCTCTGACTAGAAGACAACATTTAAAACACAATTGAGTAATGTTCCTTTAACCCTCGCTAGAGTTCTGAGAGGGACCTCTGGTGGGGCTAGTGGCAAGAAGCTGCGCTGCAATCCCAAAGGCATGTGGTTCGAATCCACCAGCTGCTCCACGGAGACGGATGAGCAGTCTTCTCCTGTGTGATTAACGGCTTCTGAAAACTCAGTGGAGGGTCAGTTCCAACTTAATGGTACACAACAACAACAAGAATTCTAAGAGGTTGATGCTCTTCCAGCCCTCCCAGTTTACAGATGAGAAAACGGAGGCACAGAGAAGTTAGTTCCTGTTAAAGTCAAACCATTTTGGACACTACCAAGCCTGAATTGGACACCAGGCCTCCTCCAAATGACTGTGTTATTAAAGAAAAGGGAAAGCAGGTTTGGGTTTTCAAATACAAGTACATAGTTTGACTGTAGGAACATTTAAGATAATACAGACAAGCAAAAAGGAAACCTGGGCAGGGCAAGTCACCTTCCTATTCTCGTATGGGAAGCTGAGACCCTGTGGAGGAGAAAGGATCGGAATGAGACCACATCAGTACAGGCAGGACCGGGAGCCTCAGTCTAGTTTCCTACCCAGAATTGCTTCAACTCCAGGAAGATTTGTGCTTTACAAAGGTTAGGGTTGAGATAGAAGGGTGGAGGGTCCCAAGTTTTATGAGATAAGGTGGCAAGGGGATAGATCTTTGGTAAAGGCAAAGGGAGAGACAGGATTGCAAGGTCTGAGTAACTTTCAGTCTAAATGGTTTGAGTAAACTGGAGTCACTGTGCTTGATTACCTCCAGTGATGGGAAGCTCGTGCCCTCCCGTTTTGATGATCAGTTCTGAATAAAACTAACCCGATCAGTCGATTCTGATTTTGACCCTACTTGTAAATCTTTATAAGAGGAGACTGGTGGATTTGAACCACTGACCTTTCAGTTTGCTGCCTGCCGTGTAATGAGCGCACCCCACCACCAGAGCACCTTAATTCATCCCTGAAGACAAACCCAAGTGCATTGTATTTCCCAGAGTGAGAAACCGAGACCCAGACAGATGAAGTCACACAGCACGGAAGTTGAGATGGAAGACTCCCACATCAGGTCTTGGGGTGCCAGGCCCCAGGAGATCACTGGCATCAGTGGGACCCAATTCCAACCTCCTCTACTTCCTGGCTGTGGGATTTTCTGTTCGAGCGTATGTTTTATACATTTTTCTTTTTCAGAACTTAAGTCCTAGGTGGCTTTTCCGTAGGTAATAGTAATCTAAAAGAAGTATGAGGGAGAGAATAATAAGTAGTTCACGGCGGGTGACAGTGCAAAATTTCCCCCTTCCTGTCCCCCATCATCCGTCTTCCCACCCCCCCCAGAGGCAGCCACAGCTAGGCTCATGCGAAATAGCCCCAGGATATATCACCCCTGTGTGCTGATGTATTTATATCGTCCCCACCTTTAAAAAAAACAAGCCACACCTCTGATATACACCACTTTGTACCTGTTGTGTGTGTTTTTAAATTAAAAAAACCTCTGAGCTGTTTCCGCATCTTTAAATATGGTTCAAGAACCCCACGGAAGGGCTGGGGGAAGGGGACTTGGGGAGGACATGGCTTTAAACCTGAGCTCCTGTGCTGGCTTGCTGTGTGACCCGGGGTGGGTGGCCTCACCTCTCTGTGTACTCGGTTCTTCAGAGGGTTGTCAGTGTTGTCCTCCAAGGGTGGTGGTGAAGTTTTCGTGTGGACCCCGGAGCAAAGTGCCTGGGACCATGGCCCCACCAATGATCTCAGCGGCTGTTGTTGAGACTTTGCTGTTGTTTAGAGATGTGTTTGGTGCTGAGTCAGTCCTGACTCAAAGCGAAGTTGTGTGTGCAGATTAGAACCACTCCACAGGGTCTACAGGGTGGTGACTTTCCAGATAGCCAGCGTCTTCTGCAGAAACTTCGGGAGGGTCCACGTAGAATCGCCAGCCTCTCTGCTAGTCTTTGAGGGCTTCACTGCCTGCGCCAACGACTATTAGGAACTTACTGTGTGATGTGCGGGAGGGCCCCTGGCAGGGCTTTGACTCTACCAGCTGCTCCGTCAGAGAAAGCGCAAAGCCACCTCCTGTCAAGCTGGGCAGCTTTGGAGACCCGGTGGAAGGGTCACTGAGGGGGAACTGGCCCCTGGGCTGTAGGTGTCATCACAACACAGTGGCCGATAACCTTTGTCTACTGACCAAGAGGTTGGTAGTTCGATCCCATCAGGCACTCTTCTGGAGGAAGATGAGGTAGTCAGTCTACTTCCGTGAAGATTCACAGCCTGGCGCCCCTTGTGGGGCCATTTTCCTCTGTCCTGTTGGGTCACTATGAGTTGGGGATCTTCCCTGGCAGTAGGTTTGCTTTGAGTCTGTACTTCATGCCATTCTAGGCATGCACTGATTCTGTGGATCTGACATTTTGGTGGGGAGACTGACAGTGATATATTTTATGCCAGGCGGGGTTGGGTGCTATGAAGCAGTGTCAGCAGGGTAGTCCCGGAAGGCTTCCTGAAAGAGGTGACCTCTACGCAGAGACCTGAAGGAGAGGAAAATGTAGGCTTGAAGAAGAGCTTATATACACAGGCCCTGAATCAAGAGTGCATGGGGAGCAGCGTGGAGTCTGCTGTGGCTGGAATGGAGCTAGCCACTGGGAGAGGGAGGAGAGGAAATCATCAAGATCGTGGGAGCAGATGGAAGCTGTGAGCTGTTGGTGTTTCCAAGAAGGGGAGGGGAGGGTCTGACAGGAATGTTTCTGGGATGGAGGATGCCGCATCCTAGAGGTAGACAGGGCTGGCCCAGGGTCACCCTCCTGGTGCCCTGCTCTGCGGGCAGGCCCCAGCTTCGGCAGGGCAGGGCCACCTGGCAGAGCAAAGTGCAACCAGGGTGGGGTGGGGTGGCGAAGGCAGCCCCGGGCGCCTGGCCAGAGTCTGTTCTGGGTGTGGGCAGGTGGCAGGTGTGGGTGAGGACTTAACCCTACCCTGCCGGGGGGGGGGGGGCACCCATGGCAGCCAGAAATGGCCCTGGAGGCTGTGCTTGTCTGGAAACGGCACCTGGTATTTAGACAGGATCCATGTGGTGGCCAGTGGCGAAGACCAGGAGCTGAGTGGCCTGGGTTCACGTCTTTCTGTTGCCAGTCACTGGCTGTGTGACCGGAGGCAAGTTGCTCAGCCTCTCCAGGCTGCGGTTTATAAACCTCACCTGGATGATGAGGGAACACCACAGACCTTGTGGTTGAGAAAAAATTGAGGAACTGAGGAGGAAGCTCATCTGGAGGGTTCCTGAACCAGTGAGTCCCAGATGAGGATTATTACCTGTGATTATGGTAACTTGGAGCACACAGCCCAGCTGCCCCATGCTCAGCTGAGTCTGCTAAGGGGTTTTCCCCTCCCGCCCAAGGAGGAAGAGAGAGGGGCCTTTAACAGCAGCAGCATTGACCAAGCCGCTTTGGGGGGGTGGGGGGGCGGCAGTGCAATTTCTCTCCCCGGAAACTCCTGACCGCCAACTTCCTCTTTTCAGGAAAAAAACTGTGCGGGTGAGGCGGGGATGAGCACTTCCCCCTGGTGTGTATGACCTTGGGCAAGTCTCTTCCTGTCTGGAGCTTGGTTTCCTCATTGGAGGCAGGGAGGGTTGAACCCCAGTGGGCTGGGGTTCTTGAGGGAGGCAGCTGTCCTGGGGCACCTTTGACTAGGGCAGCTGACAGGTGGCCCAGGAAGTGCCAGACGCTGTGCGTGGCCCTGAGAGGTGGGGACTGCCTTCTTCCCTGTCTGCAGAGGAAGATGAGTTGTGAGTGAGAAGGTCCTGCCTGAGTCACAGCGGAGTAGGAGCTCAGTGGGGATTGTAACCCAGGCTGGTGGGGGGGGGGGATTGGGGGCCTGAGCCACTAACCCCAAGGCTGAGTCAGAAGTCACCTCCTCCACGAGGTCCTCCCTGACTTCAGCTCCTTCTATTCGGGACTGGCAGTCTGAAAAAGTGGACTGGGGCCATGTGGGTCACGCCCATGTCTGCTGTCCCCGAGAGCAGGGTGGGTCTGCTGAAATGGCACTCGGTGCCCTGCGTAAATGAACCTGAGGGATGAGATGGACACTGAATTTCCCCTGCAGGAGAGAAAGTGGAAGAACCTGGAGTTGGGGTTGGCCTTAGGCAGCCTCACATCTGCCCCCTGCCCTGCTCCTCCACCCCAGTGTCCTGGTGCTGTGAGGCCTCCTGGCCACCTTTGTACAATAGAAAGAAACATGGCACCTAGATGGGGAAACTGAGGCACGCCCGGTGCTTGGCCGGTCAGCAGTGCTGACCAAGGCCTCAGCTCAGTCCCTTCTGTGTGCATTCCTGTCTTTCCATCTTTCCTTGGTGTGTCTGTCAGTGTGTGGCTGCCAGTCTGTCTGTCCCTATTCACCTTTGAATCTGTATATCCTTTTTTTTCTGAGTCTGACCCACCTTTCTCTTAAGTCTGTCAGTCTCTTCCTGTCTGTCTCCCCATCTGCCCCCACCCCCTGTCTTGTCTCTGTCATTTTTTCCTTAGCCTTCTGATTTTTTTCCTTCCCTCTCTCTCTCCTCTGTCATGATCTCCCTGTCTCTCTCTCCCCTGGTTTTTCGGCATGTCTTCTCTGTCTGTCTCTGTTACACCTGCCTTGTTTTCCACTCCCAGTCTCTGGCTCTTTGTCTCCTACTCCCTCCCTGTCCACTGGTCTCCCTATACCTGTGTCTCTCTCTTCCTCGCTCACATCCTGTGTCTTTCCCTCCCAAAGAGGAGGTGACAGGTCTCAAGAGGAGGGCCTGTGCCACCGTTTGGCTAACCAGCCTCTCCCCTTCCTGCCAGTGAGACCGTCATCTGCTCCAGCCGGGCCACTGTCATGCTTTATGATGACAGCAACAAGCGATGGCTGCCTGCCGGCACGGGTCCCCAAGCCTTCAGCCGTGTCCAGATCTACCACAACCCTACGGCCAACTCCTTCCGAGTGGTTGGCCGGAAGATGCAGCCGGACCAACAGGTGAAGACACCCCCTCCTTCCTCCCTAACTAACCCCCCGCAGGCTGAGCCCCCTGATGCCTGACCCCGCTCGACCTCTCACCCACCTTTACTACCTGACCTCCAGGTGGTCATCAACTGTGCAATCGTCCGCGGTGTCAAGTACAACCAGGCCACCCCCAACTTCCATCAGTGGCGTGACGCCCGCCAGGTCTGGGGCCTCAACTTCGGCAGCAAGGAGGACGCAGCGCAGTTTGCCTCTGGCATGGCCAGCGCCCTAGAGGCATTAGAAGGTCAGAAGTGGTGGTGGGCAGGGGGACTGTGAAGTCGGGCATGTAGTCTACCAAATCAGACTCTCAGCATCGAGTCAGTTCCAACATGGGGCAACCGCTCACAGCAGGAATGAGCTCCATAGGATGGGGGGGGGGGTGTTTCTCATCTCTACAGATGAGCAGGTCTGCTTCCTGTTGGTGCTTTTGGGCGGGGTCATACTGCCAACTTTTAATAAAGACCCGGTCCTGTCAAGTCAGTTCTGACCCCCAGTGATTCCCGATTTGGTTTCTGAGACAAAGTGACTGGTGGAATAGAACTGTAGACCTTTCAGTTAACAGCCCAAGCCATTTGCACTGGTGCAGCCTCAGTTTACTCATTTGTGGAAAGATCCTGTGAGTGTTTTATATGTTTGTGACCCCAGGTAAATGCAGTCGGTGTACGATTCTTACTCATTGCTGTGGAGTTGGGACAGGCTTATAATTGATCCTTGATCAGGTCCAGTAAATCCCACTGAAGAGTCAACCCATCTTTTTCTTTCAGCACTGGTGGTGGATTTGAACCACCTGAGAGGAGAACGGCCTTTGGGTCACCAGTGCAGCTACTTAAGTACCACACCAGCATAGCTCCCGAAGCCCAGCTAGGTGAAACTATTTTCCAGAATGTTCCAGAAGTTCTAGAGCATTCCAGGACTCTCTAGTCTCCTTGTGCCCCTTTGAGGACAGTACCTCAGAGTGCGACACTCTCAACTCTAATGTGTTAAATCAATTTATTTATTTTTTTTTTAGTTATTATTTGTGTGTGTGTGTGTGTGTGTACCGTCAAATCAGATCTGACTTGTACAGGAGGAGATTGCCCCTTCTTCTCCAGCAGAGCATCTGGTGGATTTGAACCACACACCTCTGGGATCGCAGTGTAGCTTCTTGCAGCTAGGCCACCAGAGCTCACCTCAGTTTCGTTTTTAAGCTTTTTTTTTTTTTTTAAATAATGAGAACCTCCCAGCTGGTGGTTTTTGTTTTTGTTTTTGTTTTTTACATTTTTTATGTGTGTACTGTCAAATCGGATCTGCCTAGTATAGGAGGAGATTGTCCTTCCTTCAGCAGAGCGTCTGGTGGATTCGTGCACCTCTGGGGTTGCAGTGTAACTTCTTGCCACTAGGCCACCAGAGCTCGCCCCAGCTGGTGTTTTAAAAGTTGCACTTGCACCCTGTTGGCGAGGGGGTCTAGGTGGAGCCGACCCAGGGTCTAAGCTGATGCGCATGCTCAGCTCGGCATGCCAGCTACTTGGACTGGCGAGGCTCTTAAGTGGTTCCGCTGTTTGTCCAAGGATTGGTGGTTGTTAACCCAGAGCTCTCAACCGACCAAGCGTAGAGGTAACTTCTTTCATTCGACCTCCTGCAAACATCATTCATCTCGGCTGTTGGAGCCAAAAGAGTAAACGACACAGGAATTGTAAAGGAAAAGGGCGAAAGAGTCCTCTTGGCGATGACTCAATGCTGTATCCTGTCCTCACAGTCTCATGAAGAGAGACAGGCCGGCGCAGGACAGGGCAAGGCTCAGATCTGCTGTTCATAGGATCGCTATGAATTTGTAAACGGCTTGTAACAACAGCAGAGTCTACTTAGCAGCCCTGGTGGTGTCGTGTGTTACGTGCTGGGCTGTTAACCCAAAGGCCAGAAGTTTGAATCCACCAGCCCCTCCAACAGAGCAGCAGATGAGGTGGTCTGCCCCCGATAATGATTTTGGAAACTTGATGGGGGCAGGAGGTGTGTTGGCATGGGTTGGAATCCATTGGATGGCAGGGCGTGGTTAGGTTATATGTAAGGAGGTCTTGGTGGCACAGGGGTTAAAGGCTTGAGTACTGACAGTAGCCATGCAGCAGTGGTTCTGACGAGTAAAGGCTCATTCCCAGGTGCAGCGGAAGGAGGTGAGCACCCCTGGGCAGGGCTGCTGGAGGCTGTGGCAGGAAAATGCCAAGGGTCAGGCCGGGCAGGGCAGGGCAGAGTCCCGGGTTGACACTCTTCTCCTTTCACCTCTAGGAGGTGGGCCTCTGCCACCTGCCGCACCACCCACCTGGGCGGTCCAGAACGGCCCCTCCCCGGAGGAGGTGGAGCAGCAGCCGAAGAGGTGGGGCCCTTCGCTGGGCATGTCCCCTAACCCCAATATCCCCGTGTCCAAATTCAGATTTCACTTTCCACAATGTTCCAACTCCCAGAAGGCTAGCAGTTCACATATTTTTTTTCCCCTTCCCAGAGCGCCCTAACTTGTTCTAGAAACTCTCCCCCACAAATCCCAAGTACCCTGATTCCCTGGGTCCAGAATTGGATAAAATTTAAAGGAATTTGTTGGTTCGTAATCCAGGTGTTTCTGAAAGTTCGGGGACTAGGGTGCTGGCATCTTGGCCCTGTCTGGTCCCTCAGACTCGGCCTTCCTTTGCTCACTCCACCCTGTCCCTGGGCGCTGGAAAAGGAAGACATGGGTGGGGGCATTAGGAGCCAGCCCGCTGGAGGCCTGGGAGTGACACGGGGGAGGTCACTGGCCCTAAGTGATTGCCCTCTGTCGCCCGCTGTGCAGGCAGCCGGAGCTTGAGCGCAGGATCTCCAATGCAGGTAGGTGGTTGATTGGCCTGGAATTGGGGCACGACCTGGAGGACTGGGCGGCGGGGGCTGCATAATAGAGTGAGGTCCTCCTCTCACATTAACATACCTTGTGTGTCTGTCTTCCAGGAGGTCCACCTGCTCCCCCCGCTGGGGGGCCACCCCCACCTCCAGGACCACCCCCTCCTCCAGGCCCCCCTCCGCCCCCTGGCCTGCCCCCCTCAGGGCTCTCAGCAGCAGGGCATGGAGCTGGGGGAGGCCCACCCCCTGCACCCCCTCTCCCCGCGGCACAGGGCTCCAGTGGCGGAGGCGCCGGAGCCTCTGGACTGGCTGCAGCCATTGCTGGAGCCAAACTCAGGAAAGTCAGCAAGGTGAGCATTCTGGAGGGTCAGGTGAGGGGGACTGTGATGGAATAATGAGGTGAGTCCTTCCCCTTTTTACACCAAGCCCCCTCCCCCTTTTTTCATTTCTTTAGCAGGAAGACACCTCAGGGGGGCCCTTGGCCCCCAAAGCCGAGAGCGGGAGGAGCACAGGTGGGGGACTCATGGAAGAGATGAACGCCATGTTTGCCCGGAGGTGAGCCTAAAGCCTTGTCCAGACCCCTCTGTCCCCTCAGGAGAGCTGGGGGAGCGGGGCTGTCCCAGCCGGCCAGCAGTCCCCACACCCACCTGAGGCCCAGACCACTGGAGAGGTTTCTTCCTGTACCTGTACACATCCCGAAAGTTCTAGTGCCCCCAAAAGCACCCACCAGCTCCCTCCTTTGTTTCTGGTTGTTAGCGAAGGAGCGGTGATGGCAGAGTTTGTTGCATGTTGGCCTACTAAATGGAAGGTTGGCAGTTCAAATCTAACAGGCTCTCAAAGATTTACAGCCGGGGGTTGGGGGTGGGACTAGTGGATGGATGGTCACTATGAGTTGAACCCACCCCAAAGGTACTGGGGGTTTTCTTCTGTGGTTCAGAGGTTTAAATGCTTGGGAGAAAAGACCAGGTGATCTGGCCTCATTGAAATCCCCCAAATCCACTGCCACTGAGCTGCTTCTGGCTCGTGACATTATAGTACAGAGTGGAACTCCCCTCCTGGAGAGGGGAGCTTTAGAGAAACAGCCACATTTTCCTCCCGAGGAGCAGCTGGTAGGTTCAAACTGGTGACATTTTGGTTGGTAACCAAGCACTTGAATCACTGCACCACCAGCAGGAAATCCTATGAGTTGGAATTAATTTGCTAGAATAAATAAATTAGTTTGCTAGAATGAAGGGGGGAACCTCATGTGGGCCCAGGAGACCTGCTCAATAGCGTTTTCAGGGCTTTGAACTCCCTGCTAAGGAGCTCTGGCGGGTTCCTAAGGGAAGAATTAATAGTTCGAACCCACCAGCTACTCTATAGGTGAAAGATGGGCATTCTCCTCCCATAGTCTCAGAAGCTGATGGTGGGGTCCCACAGTTAGGACTCTATGCAGTGGGGTTTGGGTTTGCTTTTGAACCTTTTAGCTAACGGCCATTTACCCTTTTGTCCCATTCCGGGACCTCTGTTTTGTTTCTTTTCGTGAAAGTTGACCCTTTAAGTTCAGGTTTGGCAGATAGCCAGGGATTGTCAGCTCCTAAAACGGCTCAGGTTGCCATTGGTTGGTAGCTTCTAGAATATTCTAGAATATAGTATTCCAGCACCTTGGAAAATCTTTTGCAAACCCTATGCCTAGAATCCCAGCGTTCGAAAATGGTATCCTCTCTCCCTCTTAAAATTGTGTGACTCCCAAACATGAGAATCTCAGGACAGCAGCCCTGTCTTTGACTTCTCAAACCAGGGTTTCCATAGCCTTCATGAATGCCTCTATCCTGGACTCTAGAATCCCCTTGTGTAGAACTCTGGGAAGGGATAGTTGGGTAAGAGCTGAAACCATTCGTTTTTGTTACTGCCTCCTGCAGAAGGAAAGCCACACAGGTTGGAGAGAAACCTCCCAAGGATGAATCTGCCAATGTGAGTTAGGGGCTCTTTCAGCTCCTGCAGGCTATATACCCCAGGGTAGGATCAATGGGAGAGGTAGATGTTGAGTTTGAACCTAGAATGAGCCAGGACTGACAATCTTATTTCCCACCAGCAGGAGGAGCCAGAGGCCAGAGTCCCAGCCCAGACCGGTGAGTGAGAGCCTAGTCTGGCCCAAAGAACTACAAATCCCAGGATGCCTTGTTTTTACATATAAGGCACCCTAAAGAAGGAGTTGTGCAAACTCTGCTGGGGATTATAGTTTCGTGATATGGTCCTTTGAAGGCTGATGAGGGAGGTTGAGGGGGAAAGAGTGGAGGGGAGTGCTTCTTGTTTCTGATCTTTCTGATTTGTTGCCTGTCCCCCAGAACCAGTGCGGAGGCCCTGGGAGAAGAACAGCACAACTCTGCCAAGGTGGGCCTCACACCCCCAAAACAGCCCACGTTTTGCCATCTTGGTAGATGGACAAAATATGACACCTGGGATGGGAGAAATATGACACCCCTTTCTAACCTCATTTTCGTCCCAAATCACCCTAACTCCAGGATGAAGTCATCTTCTTCAGTGACCACTTCCGAGGTCCACCCCCCTACCCCCAGCTCCAGTGACGAATCAGACCTAGAGAGGGTGAAACAGGTATGTAGGGAGGTGGCTGGGGAAAAAAAGAGGCCACATGAAGAGACAAGGTCTGAGTCCTGTTGCTGATCCTCACCTCAGTTTTCCTATCTGAGCAGTGGAGCAATTGTATCAGGTTGGGGATGACACGGAAGCCCGTTCAGCCTTTACCATGACTGGGGCAGACCTTACTAATCGATCACCACACTCCTCCTTACGAGTGCCCAGTACACAGCCCCAGACAGCCAGCCGTCCACCACTAATCACTGAGGGAACTTGGCAGCAGCCCGCCATGCACTTGCCAGCCTTGGTACTGGCTGTCCTCCAGTACTTTTCTTCTGGCTCTAAGGATCTAGACTTCATCCCCAAAACTCTCCAGTCATTCTGTGACCTTGTCAGTGATGTCCGGGAGGGGAGAGATGGAGTCTCGAACCACCTTTTTCTTGCCCGTCAAGGAGCAGAGGGAACTTTTATCCCCTCCCTTTGCAGTTTCTCAAGCCCCCTTTCCCTCCTGACTGGCTGTACTCTCTTATTTCTAGGAACTTATAGAAGAAGTGAGAAAGGAACTGCAGAAAGTAAAAGAGGAAATAATTGAAGGCAAGTTCCTCCCCAAAACGTTTAACACGGGGGGTAGGGGTGGGTCCCTTGGAAAGACCCCTGGTTTGAAAGGGAGTAAGCTTCTCATGACCTCTGACCCCTCTTCCCTTCCAGCCTTTATACAGGAGCTGAGGAAACGGGGTTCGCCCTGACCCCGGGGACCAAGAAGATCCCGCTCCCGCTCTTCGTTTCTGCACACCCCACCTGTCACCCAGCTTTTCCCTGCCTCTATTTGACTAGGAATTGGCTGACTACACAGGAATGCGTCTTCCCCACTCCCCATCCGGCTTGGAAAATTCCAAGAGGGTGTGGCTTCCCTGGCGCCCTGCCCACACCCATACTGGCTGCTGATTGGCTGGGGAGGCCCCCACCCTGCGCTCCCTTTGGTCCTTCCCCTTTGCCATCCCCACATGGCTGGTTCCTCTACTGGGGATGTACCAAGTAGCCCCACTGTTTTGGGGAAGGAAGGAGGGAATTCCACATTCCCTGGTTCTAGATTCACTTTATCGCTTAATGCCTTCGAATTTTTGTTTTTTTAAGAAAAGAAATATATATATATATTTTTTGGTTTTGGGGGATGGGGCGGGAAGGGAAATTTTTTTTTCTCCTTGGTTTTGATAAAACGGGGTGCTGGGAGTTTTTACATGCTTTATAGCCCCAGGCTTGTCCTACTTGAGGCAGCTGTTTAAGGGGTTTTGCCCCATCAAGTTGGGGGTAAGTACCTCACCCTCAGCCCAGGGAATCCCTCGCTTCCCTCTGGCTCCTTCCCCTTTTCTATGAGGAATTAAGATGCTGTAACTTTTTTGGAACCTCAGTTGGTTTGGGTTTGTTTTTTTTTTTTCTTTTTTGTTTGGTCGTGTTGGTGTGTGTGTTTTTTTTTTGTTTTTTTTTGTTTTGTTTTGTTTTTTTTTTAGTAGTAGTAGGTTTCAGGGGGTTCTGGCCATTTTTACCCCCTGGGGAAAATGATAGGTAAGAAAGGTTAAGGGAGATGGGGAAACCTCTCCTTTCTCCTTCACCTATAGCTTGTTGAAAATGGGCCCTGCAAAATAAACATGCTGGGTTTTATAAATTCCAAGGTCTCTGGTGTGATATGAATGGCTTGCTCTGATGAGCGTGAGGCATGCTTGTCCCTTGTTCGTAGGTTGACGCGTTTCTCTGTGCAGGGTGTCACCCTTCTTCTCATTTCATTTCTTCCTCACCCAGCACCCCTGGCTATCTTGCCTCTTCCTCTCCAGCATCTTGCCCATTCTGGAGGAAGGAGCCCCTCATCGCCTGTGTGGCCCCTGATCGACTGGTCTCTGATTGGCTGTGTGGTCCCTAGTTGGCTGTGTGGCTTTGGGGCAATTCCCTTTGCTTCCCCTGAACTTAAGTTTTCCTACAGGGAAAAGGGCTTCTAGGGGAACCCTGCCCCTCCCACTTCCTCCTCCCGTTTTACGTGAGCTTTGTACCCATTTTCCAGGCCTACACCATGGTTGTCAGACATGTTCTTAAGCTGACAGCTTTAATTCAGTGCTTTTTATTAATTCTAAAACCTTTAGAGTCTAGAAAAAAAAAATACTGAAGTCAAAAGTTTACGCCTGTTGTTGGATGAGGCCATTTCGGATAGATGGATCTAATGGAAGACACAGTGGCTCACGGCTGTAACTTGGAGCATGGGGGGGGGGTCCCTGAGTGCTCTGATACTGAAGGCTAGGGGGTTGTGACTGTCTTGAAGAGGAGAGAGGTCGGGAATGTAGCAAGCTCTGCAGACTGAAGGCAGATGAGACAAAATGACAAGGATGGGTTGGCCCAAGATGAATCTTTGGGGGGGGGCGTCATATCTTGCTGGCACTAATCCCTACGAGGCCATAGGTGGATTGTACCACAGATTAAAGGCTGGGGAGGGAGGGCCCTGTTGGAACAAACCATTTAGGTAGGGAAGGATCGCAGTAGCAGGAGCGTGGTTCACTAAGTAGGGCGTCCCCAAAGCCTTGCTTTTGTCTTCCCCTCCCCTGCCCCCACTTAAGCTGCATTTTCATGACAAAAGGTCTGTACCAATGAGGAGGAGGAGGAGTGCGGATGTGTCCTGTAAAAGATGGGCGGTAGCAGTGTGAGGAGAGGAGGTGGGGCCGTACTTCTGGTGAATGGAAGTGTATGTTGGGAAGGTCCACGTGCAGGATGCGATTTTGTTTTATCCAAATAGACTGGTGTTCTGCCAGGCCCCCAGGGCTTCCCACTGCAATATGTTAAACCAATGGGCTGGGGGAAAGCGGCAAGCCCCGTTAGAATGTGTTCACTGGGGACAGGTAGGTTACCAAATGGCCAGCTGGGTCAGCCCCAGTCTTGTTTAGGGTCCTACAGCTCTGAGACCGCCTACTTCCCAGGCTCTGCTTCGGGTGTGGACGGGTCCTGAGTCGGGGGCGTGGCCTGAAACGGGCGGTGTCACAGGGGAGGTCGGCTATCGCTGTGGGGACGGTGCCGGGGGCGAGCCCTGGCACGGGGTCGCTGCCGATGACAAAGGCGGCGGGTCCAGCGCGCGTATCTGGGTGCGCAGCTCTTGTACCTGCGCCCGCAGCTTCTCCAGGGCGCTTTACGGTGGCATCGCCTGCACCTGCACGTGCAGCGCCTCGAGCAGGAGGGACAGGTGGTCCACGTCGTCCTGCAGCATGGCCCAGGCGGTGTTTTGCTCCTGCTTGCTGAGCTTCTGTTGCCTCTGGTGACGCCAGAACTCGAACAACAGGCAGGCACCGGCCACAAGGAAGACGGTGGCCTCGCCCAGCAGCTTGGCGCCCAGGTCGGTGGCTGACGATTCATTCAGCGGCTTGACGACTGCGCCCCAGAAGCCCATAATGTGCATCTTGGTTCGCATCTCCACCCAGTGGTACACTGCAGGGAAGACAGGGGTCAGGCCACGCACGCTCCCGCTCCAGGAATCCCTTGCAAACCCTGACCCTCTGCATCTCGTGGTGCCCATTCAAGCAACTGGGACGTGGCAGCTAAGGACCACCGGGTTCTGGTGACGTGCCAGTGGGTCAGCCATAAGTCTCATGGGAGGAGATTGCCCGTCTTTTAGGTGATGCATTCGAACTGTGGCCTGTTGGTCTGGTGGTGTGATTTGTGACTCCTTAACCGCCAAGTTACCAAAGCTCCCCAGGAAAATGTTATCTGCATATCAACATATGCAGATAACATTTGTTATGTGCCGTCGAGTCGCTTAGAACTCATAGCGACCCTATGTACAAGAGCCCTAAACCCTGCTCTATACTGTGCCAACCTCACCGTCTCCGACATTTACTCCCATCACGCCAATCATAGAATCATTCCATTTCATCAAAGGTCTTCCTCTTCTGCGCTGTCCCTCCACCTTCCTTCTCTGAGGACTAGTCCCTCCTTGCAACATGCCCAAAGTATGTCAGACGAAGCCTTAGAATCCTTGCCTCCAAGGAGCAGCCTGGTTTCACCGTCTCTTGAATGAAACTGTTCTCCTAGCAGTCCATGGTATATTCAACACTCTCCTCCAGCACCACAGCTCAAAGGCATCAATTTTCTTTCATCCCTAGTCACTCCCCAGCTCTCCGATGCATAGCACGCAACTGCAAAAACTGTAGCCCGGATCAGGCACACCTTAGTCTCCAGCCTGACATCGTTGTTCTTCAGTACTCTTGAGAGGTCCCTCACAGCTGACTTTTCAAATGCAATTCTTCTCTTGATTTCCTGGCTGCTGCTACCAAGACTGTTGACTATGGAGCCAAGCAAACTAAATCTTTTAACTATCTCAATCTCTTCACCATCCATACTGATGCTGCCAATTGGCCCAGTGGTGAGAATCCTTGTTTTGATGTTGAGCTTCAATCCCTATTGGAGGCTACAGTCCTTCACCTGCTGCAGCAAGCGCTTCAGGTCCTCCTCAGATTCAGCGAGCAGGGTTGTGTCATCCGCATAACACAGGTTGTTGAAGAATCTGCACATTATACCACATATCAAAGCAAACCCATTGGCGGCGACTCAGCACCCCTACTGACCAGAGCAGAACCGCCCCAAAGGTTTCCAAGGCTGTGTGTCTTTACTGAGTGGGGAGGCTGACAGGTTCGAACTGCTGTCTTTTGCAGTTAGCAGCTGGACATTTAACCTAACCAACCCCAGGGTTCCTGAGCAGCCCACATAGTTGTGGATGGTATGTACCGTCCAATCAGAACCGACTCACTTCTAACTCTGGGGTTTTCAGAGGCTGTAATTTGCTCATCGTTAGCCCTACATGCAATTTGGGGTTGACTGTGCAACTCATACATGAGGCCAGCAGAGCTCTCTAGCAACCTGTACAAAGGGGAGTAAATTTACAAACAGAAGTTGGTCTTTCCCTTCAAGCTAGCTACAGTCTTACTCCTCAAAGGTTTTTTTTCTGTACTTAGTTCTTTCACCTTAAACTTATAATGGCAAATAGTTTATACCTCTATTGCTTGCTTATTTTTAAGTGTGTGTGTGCGTGTGTGTGTATGTGTGTTGGAAGTGTTGAAATGGCAAATGTTTTGTTACGTGTATTTTTTTTTTGCCATTAAAGAAAATATTGTGATTATTTTACACTGCCACTTCGAACATATGCACTGTTCTTCCCTCCCCTCTCCCATAATACACAAGTGATTTTTTTATTTGTCAGTGCTTATTGGTAACCTGTCACATTCTAAACAACATAACTACGACCTCAACTCCTTGACACCTATACCTGGATTAACTACCTACCCTGACCTATGTGATGTCTTTGAGCTGTGGTGGTGAAGAGGAGTAATGGATTTACTGAATGAAAATCAACTGTGTGGTAAAAAAAGGAGCCTGGGGGCATTCTGAATTATGTGTCAAGTTGCTAACTGAAAGGCCAGCGGTTCGAATCCACCAGTCTCTCTCAGGAGAAAGAGGAGATAATCTCCTGTAAAAGAGTCACAGTGTTGAAATCCTGAAGGAAGATTGTCATGAGTCAGGGTCAACTTGGCAGCAGTGAGTGGGTTTTGGGTATTATAAAAATGGTTGTCCACCACAACAAAATAAAGGTAAACAACACAATTGCAAAATGGGCACAGGATATGAACAGACATTTCACCAAAGAAGACATTCAGATGGCAAACAAACAAATGGAGAAGTGCTCAAAATCCCTAGCTCAAAGAGAGATGCAAATCAAAAC